TTTATTTTATTTATTTTGTTTGCTTGCCTCTTTAGTTTCTTTTCTTTTTTCTTTTCGATTTGTTTCTCATTTAATTTATACTTTGATTTATTTCTTTTTCAACAAAAGAAATAAACAAAAAAAGAAATAAATTAAAATAAAACAAAATTAAAAAAGAAAGAAATAGACAAAAATAAAAACAAAAAATAAAAACAAAAAAAACGTAAAAACCTTCAAATCAACTCAAACCAACTCAACTAAACTCGACCAACTAAATCAAATTAATTAAATCAAACTAAACAAACAAATAAATATAAATAAACAAACAAATAAACAAATAAATAAATAATAAATAATAAATAAATAAATAAATAAATAAATAAATAAATAAATAATAAATAAATGCGAATTTGCGTTTAGGGGAAACGAGCAGCTTCGCGCTGGCGTGCATTGGGGTGTATCTACTCCCGGTGTTGTTTGTGGTTTTTTCCGCTCGCGCTCAAAATGAGTTTTCATTTTATTTTTCTGCTGCTGCTTCTTCTTTCTTTGCTTCTCCTGCTGCTGCTGCTGCTGCTGCTGCTGCTGCTGCTCCTTCTTTTTCTTTTCCACTTTCTCTCGAGTCTTCTCTCCACGCCGATCTTCGCCTCAGCCTCGCCCTCGACTTCCTCGACATCACTGTCATGTTCAACGACGCCCTAGGTCAGCTGCTGCTGCTGCTGCTGCTGCTGCTGCTGCTGTTTTGCTGCTGCTGCTGCTGTTGTTTTGCTGCTGCTGCTGCTGTTGTTTTGCGGCTGCTGCAGCTGTTTTGGTTGTGCTGCTGCAGCGTTTTTCGTGCTGCTGCCGTTGGTTTGCCGTGTTTTGCTGCTTTGCTGCTGTCGTTTCGTTGCTGCTGCTGCTGCTTTGCTGCTGCTGCTTTGCTGCAGTAGTTTTGCTGCAGTTGCTTTGCTGCTGCTGCTGTTCTGGCGCTGCTGCCGGCGGGGCTGGGAGCGGGAGGGTGTCCCGGAGTGCCTCGCTGCTGCTGCTGCTGCTGCTGCTGCTGCTGCTGCTGGAACCGTCGTATCTCTGCACCTTTTTCCCCCCAGCCGCTGCCGCTGCCGCTGCTGCTGCCGCTGCTGCTGCTGCTGCTGCTGCTGCTGCTGCTGCAGAGCGGGACCGGCAGCTGCAGCTGGTGGGGGAAGGCGCAGCAGCAGGCGACTGGGTGGGGCTCTTCACCCTGGTGCTGTGCATAGTGGACGTGCTGAGTCTGGGGCTGGCCTTTGCTTCCTGGGGGCCCCCGGGGGGCCCCCAGCAGCAAGGAGATATATTTGTGTCTGCGAAGTTTGAATTTCTTGTTGGTTTGCTGCTGGTGGATGTTCCCTTTTTAGTAGTGAGGCTTTACTGGATGTGTGGGGCCCCACAGAAGCTGTTGTGGTTTTTTTTGAAGAACATCTTCACCATTTGCATGCGGCCTTTGAAGCTCAACCAGTGCCGTTTGGCCGAGCGCGAGAAGGCCAAGGGGACCCAAAAGTCCATTTACGAGAAGCCCGGCAGCGAGCTGCTGCTGCAGCAGCAAATCCGGCAGCAGCAGCAGCAGCAGCAGCAAAAAACGCGCACAAAGATGCCCCACACGGGCCCCTACGCCCCAGACCCGAAAAACGCCGCCAAAAACTACCTCCTGCAGCAGCAGCAGCAGCAGCAGCAGCAGCAGCAGCAGCAGCAGCCCGCAGCCACTGCTGCTGCTGCGGTCGGCAGGGGCGTCCTCGAAAACATACAGCGCCTCCGCCAGCGCGGCAGCATGCTGCGCCAGCGCCAGCAGCAGCAGCAGCAGCAGCAGCACACTGCAGCAGCAGCAGCAGCAGCAGCAGCAGCAGCAGACGCCGGCGGCTCCTTCTACGGCAGCAGAGACTTTGCTGCAGACTCGCTGCTCCCCAGCAGCAGCGCAGACACTGCAGCAGGAAGATCAACAGCATCTTTTGAGTCTTTGAATGAAACTCTGAGGGACCGCAGCTGGGTCCCCGGGCCCCTTCCTGCTGCTGTGCTGCAGCAGCCGCTGCTGCCTCAACAAAGTGCTGGACGGCTCGGCCTACCTTTCGTACGCGCAGCAGCTGCGGCTTGCTGCTGCTGCTGCTGCTGCTGCTGCGCTGCACCTGCTGCTGGTGCTGCTGGGCTTCTGCTCCTTCATCTTCGCGAAGGAGCCCGCGGCCCCCGCTGCTGCTGCTGCTGCTGCTGCTGCTGCTGCTGCTGTTCCCGAGTTCTTCCCCCTCACCGCCTGGGGTGTCTTGACACCGCGGGACAAGGCGCTGCTGCTGATCTGGGGTGTATCGACAGCTCTGTGTCTCCTCAGCTGCTGCGGAGAAGCTCCGCTGCTGGACTGTCTCTTCACTTCTTTTTGTTTTGCTGCCAAACAACTTTCCCGTTTGCTGCTCTTCCGCGAGTTGGGCTTTTACTACTTGTCTCCGCAGGGCGTGGCAGCAGCAGCAGCAGCAAGTGGCTTCCAGCCCAAACACGCCATTGCTTTGCTGCTGGGGGTTTCCTTTCTTGCCAAACCCCTCATTTACTTTTTGACTCTTTCTTTGGCGCTGCTGCAGTCTCTTTTTGGAAAAAGGTTTTACACTTGGAAAAGGGACAAATACGTCCTCAGTGCGACAAACCCTAAACCCTAAACCCTAAACCCTAAACCCTAGCACCTCCCGCGCCCTCGCGCCCCTTCTCCCGCTTCCTCCGCCCTCTGCACTCCACTGCGTCCCAACTTGCTGCTGCTGCTGCTGCTGCTGCTGCTGCTGCGTTGGTGCGTGCCTGCAGGCAGCGCGGGTTCCCCGCTGGAGAGCAGCAGCAGCAGCAGCAGCAGCAGCAGCAGCAGCAGCAGCAGCAGCGTGTCCGTGAGCAACGTGGTGGTGTTTTACCTGTGCCGGATGGGGGCTGCGCCGGTGTCGCTGCACGGGTTGCTGCTGGGTCCAAACACTGTTTTAGGGTTTAGGGTTTGCGACGGGCTGACGGAGGCTTTGTGGGTGGAGTGGCTGCTGGGGCTAGGGTTTAGGGTTTGGGCCCTCTCCCTCCGCCTCAGCTGGTACTCCTTCGGGGTTTACTGCTGCCACTTGCTGCTGCAGCTGCTCTATTTGCTGCTGAGCCAAGCCACGAGGGTTTTGGTGCTGCGGCGGTTTGAGTTGAAGTTGCTGCTCGAGGGTTTGGTGGCTTTGCGGCCGGACGACTTGGGGATCTTCACTGACAGCAGCAGCAGCAGCAGCAGCAGCAGCAGCAACGCGCCCCTTGCTGCTGCAGCAGACACGCGCAAGTACAAAAAGAGCAGCAGCAACGGCTGCTTGACTCTTGCGCAGGAGTTCGAGGCTTTTCAAAGAGACGGCTTCGTCTCTTCTCCCGGAACTGTCTTCCCTGGAGTCTTCTAGCTGCTGCTGCAGCAGCAGCAGCAGCAGCAGCAGCAGCAGCAGCAGCAGCAGCAGCAGCGGCAGCAGCGGCAGCGGGAGGGGTGGGCGAGGGAGTGGCTGCAGCGGAGCCGGCAGCAGCCGCAGCAGCAGCAGCAACGCAGGGCGGCAGGCTGCAGCGGGAGGGACGGAGCAGCAGCAGCAGCCGCAGCAGCAGCAGCACAAGAGGCTCGCTGCAGCAGCAGGGACGGGCCGCAGCAGCAAACGCAGCAGCAGCACTTGCCGCTGCAACGCAGCACATACTGCTGCTGCTGCTGCTGCTGCTGCTGCTACGCGTGCGCAGAAAGCGCTTTGCCAGGAATCAGCGAGCTGCAGCAGCAGCAGACGCTGCTCCTGCTGCTGCTGCTCACGAAAGATCGCAAAGGAGCAGCAGCAGCAGCAACAGCAGCAGCAGAGGGACTGGCTGCAGCAGGTCATGAGGCTCCTCATTTCCAGGCCTCACGCTGCTGCTGCAGCTGCAGAAGTAAATGCTGCTGCAGCAGCAGCACAGCAGCAGCTGTTACAACTAGAGTTTTTAGAGCAGCAGCAGCAGCATGCTGCTGCTGCTGCACTTCACAGGAATAGTATTCTCAGGCGCTGCAACAGCTGCAGCAGCAGCTGCAGCAGCAGCTGCAGCAGCAGCTGCAGCAGCAGCTGCAGCAGCTGCTACTGCTGCAGCATAAACAACAGCGCCTGACTAGGGATCATTTCGTTTGAGTACATTCATTTCCAATGGGAACTGCTGCTGCTGCTGCGGCAGCAGGCTCAGCAGCAGCAGCAGCAGCAGCAGCAGCGGGACGAGCAACAGTAGCTCGAGCAACAACGGGAGCTGCTGCAGCAGCAGCTGCTGCAGCAGCAGCTGCTGCAGCAGCAGTGATTTTAATTGCAGCAAAAGCAAACAGCAAAAGTTTCTGTAGCCAGCGGCGCTGCATTTGCTGCTGAAGCTGCTGCAGTTGCAGCGTCAAACGCTGCAGCTGCTGTTGCAGCTGCTTTTGCTGCCGCGGTTGCAGCAGCAGCTGCTGCTGCTGCTGCAGCTGCTGTTGCAGCTGCTGTTGCAGCTGCTGCTGCAGCTCCTGTTGCAGCTGCTGTTGCAGCTGCTGTTGCAGCTGCTGCTGCAGCTGCTGTTGCAGCTCCTGTTGCAGCTGCTGCTGCAACTGCTGCTACAGCTGCTGCTGCAACTGCTGTTGCAGCTGCTGCTACAGCTGCTGCTGCAACTGCTGTTGCAGCTGCTGCTGCAGTTGCCGTTGCAGCTGCTGCTGCAGCTGCCGCTGCAGCAGCTGCTGTAGTTGCTGTTGCAGCTGCTGCTGCAGCTGCTGTTGCAATTGCTGCTGCCGCTTGCATAGGGTGGCAAGAAAACTTGGCTGTTCTTTTTTTTGGGTTCATCGGGGAGTTAGACTTGTGGGGCAGCCGAGGTGTACGTACACCTCAACTCGGCAGCAGGAAGTCAGCAGCAGCAAATGAAAGAATAAACATAATCATCTCATTGAGAGAAATAAAAATAAATAAATGAAATAAATAAATGAAATAAATAAATGAAATAAATGAATGAAATAAATAGTTCTGCCAACTGTTTAGTTCACTTGTCGATATCAAGGCCGCCTACTGGGGTGTATGTACACCTGAAACGATCAAGACAGGCGCTGTGGGGCCCTCGCTGCTTTTTTGTTTGGAGAAAATATCCGAAATAAAATAAAAGAATTGAATGAATCATTTTATTTCTTTTTTATTCATTTAGATCTATTTATAAAGACATAAATGCAGTTTATTTGCCTCTTTAGTTGCAGAAAGAAAACGTTTTTGAATGTGCAAGTCGTGCATAGCAGGTCATTTGAAAATGGGTTTGTTCCTCAATTATATTCATTTAATTCTCAAAATTAATTGAATTTGAATAAATTCACTCATAAAGAAATGAATTTATTCTTCAATTTTATTTATTTGAATCAAAAAGTGACATTTATGATTTCTGCAGTCACACAGCGGAGCTCGGGTGTCTGTACACCTCAGGGTGTGCGGCGCTGTCGGCAGCGGCAGCTTGGCCTTAAAACGCATTAAATGCATTTATTAATCAAATATTAAAACATTAAATTAATTTATTTTGTAAATAATTCAACTTTTGAATTAATTGGATTGATTTCAGCAGCCGTTTTCAGCAGCTTGCTGCCCGCTGGCTCGCTGGCTCTTGGGGTGTACGCGCACCTCCCGCTGCAGGCTGCGGCAGGCAGACCGAGAAAACTGCATTTTGAGTTTAATTTTGATTTTATTTTTAATTTTAATTTAAAATTATTATTTATTTCTTCGAAACTCGCCGCAGCAGCAGCAGCGCATGCACGAGGTGACCCTGGGGCTGCAGCAGCAGCAGCAGCAGCTGCTGCGGAGTCTTTTCTCCTCTTTTGCTCTTCAGCTTTTTGCTGATCTGCTGCCCCACAAAGAATACCATTTGAAGGCTTTTTCTGTTCCTTTGGGATCTCCCGAGAGAAGGCCCCTGCTGCTCTCCCCCGGCAGCAGCAAACGCAAACCCGCAGCTAGCCAAAGCTCCGGCTAGCTAGCTAGCTAGCTAGCTAGCCGCAGCAAGGCAACTGGCAGCTAGCTGCAGCTAGCCAGCAGGAACGCCTGCTATCCCCAGCTACCCGGAGCTAGCCCCAGCTAGCTGCAGCTAGCTGCAGCTAGCTGCAGCTAGCCCCAGCGAATCCTAGCTAGCCACAGCTAGCCGCAGCTAGCTGTAGCTAGCTGCAGCTAGCTAGCCATCTGTAGCTAGCCAGCAGGGGAGTCAGCTGTCTCTTTGTTGCAGCTGATCTCCGTCGGGTGTACGTACACCGCAGACACTCTGCTGCTCCCTCCCGCGTCAACCCAAAAGAATTAAAATTTATTTTTATTTATTTCTTTTTTATTTATTTCCTTTTTTAAATCTGCAATTACCAAAAAATAAAACCTGCAGGACTTCAAATTGAAAGCCCCACAGCTGCCATTGCATGCAGCGACACACGGCCGCAGCACGGCTAGCTAGCTAGCTAGCTAGCTAGCTAGCTAGCTAGCTAGCTAGCCAGCTAGCTAGCCAGATCTTCAACTAGCTAGCTAGTTCTTCAGCTGGCTAGCTGCATAGCAGCTAGCCTGTTCGCCAGCTAGCTAGCTAGTTGGCTTTTGCTGCAGCTAGCTGGAAAGCCAGCTAGCAACTGAAGTGCTCGATTAGCTTTTCGCTTGGCTAGCTAGCTAGCTGGCTAGCTAGCTAGCTGGCTAGCTAGCTAGCTAGCTAGCAAGCCAGCTAGCCACAGCACCCTCGAGTTAAGTCAAGCAGAACTGAGAGGGAATAAAGCACTGCGGTGTACGTACACCCCGCGGGCGCCAAACCCCACACCCTAAACCCTAAACCCTAAACCCTAAACCCTGAAGCCTGGGCTCTACAGGAGGAAGAAGACAGTAGACTATGGACAGAGAACAGCAGCAGCAGGATGCAGCAGCACCGCTGCAGCAGCAGCAGCAGCCGTTGCTTTTGCCTCAACCGCTGCAGCAGCAGCAGCAGCAGCAGCAGCAGCAGCAGCTATCTCAAACTGCTGCTCTCGCCCAAGGGTCCCTCTCTGCTGCGGGCGCTCCTCTAACTTTTGCTTCAACTTCTGTAGGAGCAGACAAATCAGCAGCAGCAGCAGCAGCAACAGCAGCCACAGCAGCAGCAACAGCAGCAGCAGCAGCAGCAGCCAAAATTCCAGCACAGGCGGCACCAGCAGCATCGGGAGCAACGAAGCCAGCGGCAGCAGCAGCCGCAGCAGCAACAGCAGCAGCAGCAGCGACGGTGGCAGCAGCAACACAAGCAACCAAGCAGGCGGCAGCAGCAGCAACAGCAGCAGCAGCAAGAATAGGAGCTAAACCAGCAGCAGCAGCAGCAGCAGCAGCAGCAGCAAATGTGCTGCTGCCTGCAGAGGCGCCGCCCCCAACAGTAGAAGAGCGAGTTGAAAAGTTTCTGGACTCTCTTTGTGAGAAAGGAGCACTAAGTGTTAATACGTAAGCAGCAGCAGCAGCAGCAGCAGCAGCAGCAGCAGCAGCAGCAGCAGCAGCAGCAGCAGGAGACGTTGGTGTGGTAGTTAGGACAGTTCAGTACACAGCATCTTGAGCAGCCGCTGCAGCAGCAGCAAACGGAATTCTGCTGCTGCTGCATAAGAGCAAAAAGCCCCACCAGGCGTTGCTGCAGCAGAGACTTTAGCAGCAGCAGCAGCAGCAACAGCGGGAGAACCTGCAGCAAAAAGAGCAGCAGCAGCAGCAGCAGCAGCAGCACTAGCACCACCGCAGCAGCACCAGCACTGCCACTAGCACACGACACACAAGCAGCAGCAGCAGCTGCAGCAGCAGCAGCACGACTGGCAGCGCACGACAGATTACAACAGCAGCAGCAGCAGCAGCAGCAGCAGCAGCAGCAGCAGCAGCATTTGTTTGTTTGCGTTCAGGTCTTTGCTGTTCAAGCAGCGGTTTTTCAGGCTGCACGAGAGATATTTGCATGCAGCAAAAACAGAAGCATTAGCAGCAGCAAAGCTGCAGCGGCTGCAGCAGCAGCTGCAGCAGCAGCAAGAGGAGCTCGCAGAAGCAGCAGCAAGAGCAGCACTGCATTCCGAGCAAATCATGTCACTCAAGCAGGAGCTCTCCGAGGTACTCAAGGGCCTAGGGTTTAGGGTTTAGGGTTTAGGGTTTAGGGTTTAGGGTTTAGGGTTTAGGGTTTAGCGTTTAGGGTTTAGAGTTTAGGGTTTAGGGTTTAGGGTTTAGGGTTTAGGGTTTAGGGCCAACGGTCTTTGCTGCTACCATTCTTTCGCGTTTTCCCCCCCCGCCTCAAAATCTGGACAAAATAAATAAATAATAATATTATTATTTCTATTTAAAATTTATTTATTTATTTATTTATTTATTTATTTATTTATTTATTTATTTATTTATTTATTTATTTATTTATTTATTCAGAAAAGAGGAGAATTAGTTCGCGTTGCTTCTCGGCAGCAAATGCTGCAGCAGCAATTTGCTGCAATTCGAAAAGAAGCAAATGAGCTGCAGCAGCAGCTCGAGACGCAAAGGAAGCAGTAATTCTTTTATTTGTTTTTTATTTATTTATTTTTTATTTATTCATTTATTATTTATTATTTGTTTATTTATTTATTATTTATTATTTATTTATTTATTTATTATTTATTTGTTTATTTATTTATTTATTAATTATTTATTTGTTTATTTGTTTATTTATTTATTTATTTATTATTTTTTTATTTATTTATTCATTTATTATTTGTGTATTTATTTTTTATTTATTTATTTAGTTCTTTATTTATTTATATATTATTCATTTGTTTATTTATTCATTTATTTATTTACCTGTTTATTTATTTATTTGCTTGTTTATTTTTTGCCATTTACGTGGTATTTATTTATTTATTTGCTTATATATTTATTATTTATTTATTTATTAGCTTATTTATTTATTTTGTTCTTTATTTATTTGTTCGTTCATTTATTATTTATTTGGTATTTATTTATTTTTTTACTCATTTAGTTGTTTATTTATTTTTTATTCATTTTTTACTTTTTATTTTTTATTGTTCATTCAGTTGGCTATTTTATTATTTTTTTCACTATTTAATTGTTTACTATTTATTTAATTAATTATTTACGTGTTTATTATTTATTATTTATTTTAATTTGATGTTAAAGATATTATTTGTTTTTTTAGTATTTATTGATTTCTTTATTCATTCATTTGTTTACTTATTATTTGTTTGCTGAAGTTAAATATAAATGGACGAAAAAAAAAGAAAGTAAAATTAAAATAAAAGTAAAACAAAACCAAAACTGAATTGAATTAAATTAAAAAATAAGCTAAAATTAAATTAAATTAAACTAAATAAAATTAAACTAAATTAAAATATGGAATAAAATTAATTAAATTTAATTAAATTTAATTAAATTTAAAAAATTAAAAATAAAATAAAATGTTTTTGTTTTTTTGCAGCTCAAAAGACGTGGAAATGAATTTGACGAAAAATGCAGCAGAAACTATTTCGAGACTTCAGGTCTCTATTTTTATTTTTATTTTTATTTTTATTTTTACATTTATATTTATTTTATTATATTTTGTTTTAATTTTTATTTTATTTTACTTTTATTTTTATTTATGATTTTTATTTTTATTTTTGTTTGTATCTTTATTTTTATTTTCATTTTCATTTTTATTTTTATTTCTTTTATTTTGTTTTATTTATTTCATGTTCTTATTTGTTTGGCCTTAATTTCATTTTCTTCTAATTTCATTTTCTGTTATTTTATTTATTATTTCTGTGATTTAATTATTTCTTTTTTTAATTTATTTATCTCTTTCAATTTCCTTATCGCAATTTATTTCTTTCTTTCCTTTATTTTTACTTTTAATTTTTTATTTTTAATTTTTTCCTCTTTCTGTTTTGCTGCACCCTCTATCTGTATTGAAATGCATTTTGTTTAAAAAGTCAAAACACTTTTATTTATTTATTTATTTATTTATTTATTTATTTATTTATTTATTTATTTATTTATTTATTACTTTCTTTTTTTTATTTTTTCAGAAAGAGGAGAAAAGGCTCACTGCGTCCATCGGTCAGCGCGGGAACACTCAAACCCTAAAACGTCCTCCCCAGGGTTTAGGGTTTAGGGTTTAGGGTTTGGGGTTTAGGGTTTAGGGTTTAGGGTTTAGGGTTTGGAGGTTGACGCAGAGCGTGGTACTCATGAGGCGGCCAGGTTAAAGCAGCGAGAGAAAACCCTCAACGAAAAACTCGAAGTGAGCTTAACCCAAAACACTAAACCCTAAACCCTAAACCCTAGACCCTAAACCCTAGACCCTAAACCCTAAACCCTAAAATCTTAGACCCCTTTCTCGCTAGCTTCTGTAGCAGCGCATTCAAACCCTCTTAGGTGTGTTTCCCTCTCTAGCTAGCCAGCTAGCTAGCTAACAAACTAGCTAGCTAACAAACTGGCTAGCTAGCTAGCTAGCTAGCTAGATAGATAGCTAGCCATCTACCTAGTCGGCTGTTTATCTAGCTAGATGCTTAGCTAGCTAGCTATTTAGATGGCTAGCTGTTTGGTTAGCCAGCTAGCTAGCCAGACATTTGGCTAGCCAGCTAGGCATTTAGCTACCTAGCTAGCCGTTTGCCTAGCTAGCTAGCAATTCAGCTAGCTAGCTAGCTAGCTATTCAGCTAGCTGGCTAGCTAGCTAGCTAGCTAGCTAGCGGGTGGTGCTGCTGTTTTTGTTTTCTCAAGGCCCTTGCTGTGCAGCAGCAAAACTTGAATGAAGAAGTAGCAGCAGCAGAAGCCCCAAGGAAGACTCAGGAAGAGCAGCAGCAGCTGACGGAACATTTGCTGCTGCTGCTGCAGCAGCAAGCTGAACGCACGGCGCAGCAGCAGCAAGAGCAGCAGCAGCAGCTCGAGAGGCTGGAAGCGCAATCACAAGTAAAACCTTGTTCCCGAAACCCTAAACCCTAAACCCTAAACCCTAAACCCTAAACCCTTAATCGTATGCCATAATCAAGAGGGCCTGTGCCAGGAGCTGCGAAAAAGGAAGTTAATTTTCTAGGGCGGCTGATACAGTTGCTGCTGCTGCTGCTGCTGCTGCCTCCTGTTTCACTGCTGCTGCTGCTGCTGTTGCTCTTGCTGCCGCTGCTGCTGCTGCAGTCTCTGCAGCAACAACTGCAGCAGCAGCAGCAAAAGCTGCAGCAGCAACGCAGAGTGTCTGAAGAGCTTTTGCCGCAGCAGCGCGATGTTCGCAACAGACTCGACTTGGCACAGGCAAACCCTAAACCCTAAACCCTAAACCCTAAACCCTAAACCCTAAGCCCTAAACCCTAAACCCTAAACCCTAAACCCTCAGTTTGTGTTGCTTTGGCTTCTTCTATCAATGGCTTATTTTCTCTACTCATCTGTAAGGCATTGCTATTTGTTTATTAATCATTTATTATTTATTTATTTATTTCTTTATTTATTTCTTATTCACTTATTTCTTATTTATTTATTTATTTATTTATTTATTTATTTATTTGTTTCTTCATCACTTTTCCAATTTTGCACAGCTTGAGCCTTTCACCTCCACGCCACTTTAACAAATAAATAAATAAATAATAAATAATAAATAATAAATAATAAATAATAAATAATAAATAATAATAAATAAATAAATAAATAAATAATAAATAATAAATAAATAAAAACAAACAAATAAATAAATAAATAAATAAATAAATAAATAAATAAATAAATAAAAATAAATAAAGAAAAAGCGTCGAAAGAAAACCGCTGGCGAGGGTTTGGCGCGCGGGTTTGGGGTGTACGTACACCTCAGCTGGACTTTGCGAACAGCAGCGAACAATTAAATGAAAGACAAAAAGAAATAAAAGAAGCAGCAGCAATTCAAAAAGAGACAAAAGAAGCTTTGTTGCAGTGGAAAGCAGCTTTGGAAAGAGCCAAGTTGTGAGCCGCGAGGGTTTAGGGTTTAGGGTTTAGGGTTTAGGGTTTGGCCTGCGCGCCACGGCGGCAGACGACGGCGCCCAGGGTCTGCGGCTGGCGCTCTAGGGTTTAGGGTTTAGGGTTTAGGGTTTAGGGTTTAGGGTTTAGGGTTTACGGATAATGATATCCCACGCTCCAAGGAGTCCAGACTGTGGCGTTTAGCCTCAAAGAGCCAGTGAACTGGGGTCTAGGCTACAGGGTCTAGGGTTTAGGGTGTAGGGTTTAGGGTTTAGGGTTTAGGGTTTAGGGTTTAGGGTTTAGGGTTTAGGGTTTAGGGTGTTTAGGGTTTAGGGTAGGTTTGGGGTTTAGGGTTTAGGGTTTAGGGTTTAGGGTTTAGGGTTTAGGGTTTAGGGTTTAGGGTTTAGGTTTAGGGTTTAGGGTTTAGGGTTTAGGGTTTTAGGGTTTAGGGTTTAGGGTTTAGGGTTTAGGGTTTAGGGGGGTTTAGGGTTTAGGGTTTAGGGTTTAGGGTTTAGGGTTTAGGGTTTAGGGTTTAGGGTTTAGGGTTTATGCAGGGCGCGGGAAACACCCCCGCGTTGGTGAACAGTTTGTTGACTTCGCTGTGCAACATTTCGCCCTTCGGTGGTTGCAGGGACTACAAAAGAGGGACTGTTCAAAGAGATATCACAGCAGCGCTGTTGCCTCCCTTCGTGGCTCGCAAGGTGAAGTTTATATCCACCCCAAACCCTAAACCCTAAACCCTAAACCCTAAACCCTAAACCCTAAACTCTAAGCAACTAGGCGAAATGGGAAGCCGGAATTTTTGATGAGTTGGCGGCTGCGGCTGGCCTCCCGTCATATCGAAGCAGCCCTTTGCTGCTCACTAGGGTCTAGCCCTAAGGGTTTAGGGTTTAGGGTTTAGGGTTTAGGGTTTAGGGTTTAGGGTTTAGGGTTTAGGGTTTGGGGTTCAGGCGGAGCTCGCGCTGCAGCGAAAAGCGCTGTTGGAGGAAAGCGCCAAGAGAGCTAAAGAGGTCAATTGAATTTATTTTATTTATTTATTCATTTTAATTTAATTCAATTAATTTTATTAATTTTATTTTATTTTATTTTATTTAAATTTGTTTTATTTTGTCAAGTTAATTTAATTTATTTAATGCAATTTAGGTTAATTAATTTAATTAAATTAATTCTGTTTATTGGATTTCTTTTCTTTTCATTTATTTCTTTTTCGGCTTCCCCCAAATTTCATTTTAATTTTTAACTTTATTTTTTTAATTTTATTCTTGCTTTTATTTTGTTTTATTTTAATTTTATTTCCTTTTATTCTATTTTAATTTGCTTTTTATTTTCCTTTTATTTTCTTTTTATTTTCATTTGTTTTCATTTCTTTTTTATTTGCTTTTATTTCTTCTTTTTGCTTTTTTAGTTCTTTTTTCTTTTTATTTCTTTTTATTTTATTTCATTTTATTTTTTTAATTTAATTTTATTTGTTATAATTTTTTCCAAATTCTTTTTTGATTATATTTTGAGGGTTTGCGTCTAAGTGTTCCTTTGCGGCTGCTTCTCTGAATTTCTCCTTAGGGTTTAGGGTTTAGGGTTTAGAGTTTAGGGTTTAGGGTTTAGGGTTTAGGGTTTAGGGTTGAGCTGCAGGCGGGAAAGCTAAAAGAGGAGAACGAGGCTCTTTTTGGCTACATTAAAGGCGACGTGAGTTCACGCTAAACCCTAAACCCTAAACCCTAAACCCTAAACCCTAAACCCTGAACCCTGGGTCTCCCAAATGGAATTCCCAGTTGCACATTTGTTTTCTCTTGCTGCCATCAGGAGGCTTCTGTAAAAGAGAAAAAAGAAGAGCTCATGGCCTTGGTCCCCAACCCCTAAACCCTAAACCCTAAACCCTAAACCCTAAACCCTAAACCCTAAACCCTAAGCCCCAAACCCGAAACCGCAAACCCTAAGCCCCAAGCCCCAAACCCTAAACCCCAGCCGCCAAACCCTAAACCCTAAACCCTAAACCCTGCTGCTGCGTGCAGAGCAAGCGGCGCAGCGAGCTGCAGGGAGACTCCGCTTTGCTGCTGCAGCAAATAGCTAGCTGGGCTAGCTTGCGCAGCAGCATGGCTAGCCAGCGGCAGCAAGCAGCACAAAGTGTTGCAGAAGCAGAAAAGATCTACAAAGACCTCCAGGAACAAATTCAACTCAAAGTCCGCTGCTGCTGCTGCTGCTGCTGCTGCTGTGCTGCTGCTGCTGCTGCTGCTGCTGCTGTGCTGCTGCTGCTGCTGCTGCTGCTGCTGCTGCTGCTGTGCTGCTGCTGCTGTTGCTGCTGCTGCTGCGTTTGCTGCTGCTGCTAGTGCTCGTTGGGGTGATGATGCTGCTGCTGCTGTTGCTGCTGCTGCTGCCGCTGCAGCTGTTACTTAGCCTGGGTAGCTTTCTCTTCTTTCCCATGATTTTCCCTTTGCTGCTGCTGCTGCTGCTGCAGTTGATGAGCTAGCTAGCTAGCTAGCTAGCTAGCTAGCCTCGTACACAAAGAACCTGAAGGTCCATTTATCTACTTCAAAATATCTAAAAACGCGAATTTCTTGCTTTTGCTGCTGCTGCTGCTGCTGCTGCTGCTGCTGCTGCTGCTGCTGCTGCTGCTGCTGCTGCTGCTGCTGTGACTGCAGAGCGCGGAGGGATCCCTGGCAGCAGCACGTCTGTCGAGTTTGCTGCAGCAGCAGCAGCAGCAAGAAGCAAAAATAAAAGAGACGCAGCAGCAAACCACAAGACTGTCTTTGCTGCTGCAGGCAGCAAATCAAACTTTGTTGGAACTTCTCAAAAGACAGTCCATTTTGGCCAACGAAGTCTGTACGTACACCCGAGAGGCCCAGGAAAAGAAAAACAAAACTCTCGTGAGGCCTTTTATCATTATTTATTTATTTTTTTTATTTATTTTATTTTATTTTATTTATTTGTATTTTTTATTTGTTTATTTTTATTTATTTATTATTTCAATTTATTTATTTATTTCAATTTGTTTATTTATTTCAATTTTATTTATTTATTTCTTTATTTCTTTATTTCTTTATTTATTTATTTATTTAGTCAGCTGGTTAGTCAGTTAGTTAGTTAGTTAGTCAGTTATTTGTTTTTTGTTTTATTTTATTTTATTTGTTTTTAATTTCATTTTATTCATTTGTTTTATTTTTAATTTTCTATTTCCAATTTCGTGTTTTGTTTCTTTCAACTTCGAACTTTATTTAATTTCCAGTTCAATTCATTTTTTATTTATTTTATTTCTTTGTTTCAACTTTTAATTCCTTCAATTAATTAATTTAGTTTTTAATTTAATTTAATTTTTAATTTAATTTAATTTTTTAATTTAGTTTATAACTCCATTCAGTTTCTAACTTAGTTTGCTTTGTAATTCAATTTCGTTTTTGGGTTATTTTAGTTTTATTAAATTTAGTTTTTATTTAATTTAATTTTAATTTAATTCAGTTTTTATTTTATTTATTTTTATTTATTTGCTTTTGAAAAAAGAAATTCTATTTTGCTTCTTCTACATGCAAACTGCAAAGACTCTTTGTGGAGTAGTCCAGATTCAAGCAGAGCAGCAGCAGCAGCAGCAGCAGTTAAGCAGCAGCAGCAGCAGCAGTTAAGCAGCAGCAGCAGCAGTGAAGCAGCAGCAGCAGCAGTTAAGCAGCAGCAGCAGCAGTGACAGCAGTAGCAGCAGCGGTGACAGAAGCAGCAATGAGAGCAGCAGTGATAGCAGCAGCAGTGACAGCAGCGCCAGCAGCAGCAGCAGCAGCAGCAGCAGTGATAGCAGCAGCAGTGACAGCAGCACCGGCAGCAGCAGCAGCAGCAGCAGCAGCAGCAGCAGCAGCAGCAGCAATGTGTTGTTTGCTTCAGGCGATTGCTGCTGAGTGCATGAAGGCGCTGCAGCAAAGAGCAGTTTTGAGAAATCAACATTCCAGATTGCTGCTAAAGATCGCCCGCTGCAATGGTATTTGCTGCTGCTGCTGCTGCTGCTGCTGCTGCTGCTGTCACTGCTGCTGCTGTTGCTGCTGAAGTGATAATGCTGCTACTACCTCCACTGCTGCTGCTGCTTCCAGTCGTTGCTGCTGCTGCACTGCTGCTGCTTTTGTTGCTGCTGCTGCTGCTGCTGCTGCTTCCAGTACTGCCTTTTCAAGTGCTGCTTTCACAGCTGCTGCTACTCTGCTGCTGCTGCTGCTGCTGCTGCTGCTGCTGCAGAGGAAGCTGAGGCTTGTTTAATTGCTGCTGAGAGGCGGAATGCTTGTCTTTGCAATTTGGAAATTGAAATTAAAAAAAAGAAAGATCATTTTTATGCTGCTATCGAAAGCAGAAACATCACCGGCGTGAACTTAATTGACAGGTTTGGCTGCAGCAGCAGCAGCAGCAGCAGCAGCAGCAGCACTAGCAGCAGCAGCAGCAGCAGCAACGGTAGCAGCAGCAGCAGCAGCAGCATTTCTTTTTTTCTTCTTTTCTTCAGTTTCTTTTTTTTCTTTTAATTATTTTTGTTGTTTTAATTCTTTTATTTTAATTTTTTTATTATAAGTTTATTACTTTTATTTGAATTTCCACTTTTGTTTTTATTTCCATTTTTTCGGCTTTTGTTTGCTGCCGTTGTTTGGCCTTTGCGGGAATAAAATTAAAATTGGATTTTATTTAATTTGAATTTAAATTAAACATAATTTAAATTTGAATTAAATTCAAATCAAACTTGAATTATAACTGAATTATATATATGAATTAATAAATGAATAAATAAATTCATAAACAAATAAATGACTAAATAAATAAATAGATAAATATATATATATAGATATATATATATATATGAGTAAATAGATAAATAAATAAACGAATAAATAAATAAATAAATAAATGAATAAAAATAAATAAATAAATAAATGAAAATAAAGAAAAAGAAATAAAAAATAAATGCCACTTTCCGAACTGTCTGGACACCTGAAATTCGCCGCAGGAATGATGAGCTTTGTTTGTTGTGGGAAAGAAGTTATGCATTTGGTAATTAAATTAAATTAATTAAATTAATTTAATTAAATTAATTAAATTAATTAAATTAATTAAATTAAATTAAGTTAATTAATTAAATTAAATTAAATTAAAATGGTTATTTTGATTTATTTATTTACAATTATAGTTGTTAGTATCTTTATTCAGCTGTTTCATTTCTTTTTGGGATTTGTTTTTCGTTTTTCTTTCTTCTTCATTTTATTTATTTTTTTTTTGTTTTGTTTTCATTTTTATTTATTCACATCTTTGTTTTACTTGCTTTCTTTCGAGGGGTTTGTTTGCTTAGCAGCAAACGACACACGAAATGAAGCAGCAGCAGCAGCAGCAGCCGCAGCAGCAGCAGCAGCAGCAGCAGCAGCAGAAAATTGTGTGTGCATGTGCGCAGAGCTCGCTGAGAGACGGGGGCTGCAAGCCACTCAGGAGGCAGAGGCCGTAAGGCATAAGCTAGCTAGCTAGCTCGTGGCTAGCTAGCTAGCTAGCTAGCTAGCTACCTCGCTAGCCAGATAGAAGGATAGGTAGATGGATAGATAGCTAGGTGTCCAGCTAGCTAGCTAACTAGCTAGCTAGCTAGCTAGCTAGCTTGCTAGCTTGCTAGCTTGCTAGCTAGCTAGCTAGCAAGCAAGCTAGCACATGAATGGCTAGCTAGCCATCTGACAATCTATACCTCGTCAGAGATGAAGGCCTAGCACTCAGAGTGTCGGGCCCAGCAAACCTGGCTAGCTAGCCAGCTAGCTAGCTAGCTAGCTAGCTAGCTAGCTAGCTAGCTAGCTAGCTAGCTGCGTCTGCGTGTACATGCAGCTAGCCGCCGAGCCAGCGAGCTAGCTGCGTGGCTAGCTATCTACGTAGCTAGCTAGCTGCCTAGCTGGCTAGCTATCTAGCTATCTATATAGCTGGATAGTTACCTAGCTAGCTAGCTAACTAGCCAGCTTCCTAGCTAGCTGGCTGGCTGGCTAGCTAGCTAGCTAGCTGGCTAATGGCTAGCTGGGTGGCTAGCTGTTTCGCCTGTGCTGCAGGAAGTGCGGCAGCTGCGGCTGAAGGCGCAGCAGCTGCAGCAGCAGCTGCAGCAGCAGCGGAAGCAATCGAACTTAGTGCCGCAGCTAGCTGAGGAAGCAGCAGCACTGAAGCAGCAGCTAGCTGCGGAAAAGATAAATCTTCAGAAGCTCAAACTCGAGCTCGGTACTCAAACCCTAAACCCTAAACCCTAAACCCTAAACCCTAAACCCTAATGTCTAAACCCCAAGTCATGGTTTTTCTGCTGGCTTTTCTTTTCTCAGAAAACCCTAATGGCAGCCGGCAATGGAGGGAAACGGGAAGGTAGCGCCCTAGGGAACAAGGGTTTAGGGTTTAGGGTTTAGGGTTTAGGGTTTAGGGTTTAGTAGCCTCTAGCAGCCAGCGCAGGTGTTCCTCCAGCGTTGGCTTCTTCCCGCGGCCCGTACAAAAGTGCCGTTCTTAGGGTTTAGGGTTTAGAGTCTAGGCCTTAGGCTCTAGGGTTTAGGGTTTAGGGTTTAGAGTTTAGGGTTTAGGGTTTAGGGTTTAGGGTTTAGGGTTTGCGCAGGCCGGAGCCCCCGGTGGAAGAGCTGCAGGCAAAAGCTGCAGAACTTCAAAATCGCTTGGGAAGTCAAAAGAGGAAATTGATGGAATTGGATTTGAAGTTTGAAGAATTAAATGAAGGAAATGGTATTTAATTTAAATAAATAAATAAATAAATGGAATTAAATCAACTAATAATATTTAATTTAATTTAATTTAAAATAAAATAGAAAAAAATTCAATTAAAGAGGTTTTTAATTTTCAAAAAATTATTTAAAAGGGAATTAAATGGAGGAAATGGCATATTATTTAATTAAATAATTTAACTGTTTAATTTAATTAAATGCGTGAGTTATTTAATTCGATTAAATAATTAAATTGTTTGATTTAATTAAATTATTTAATTATTTAATTAAATTAATTTATTTAATTGTTCAATTAAATTAAATATAATAAAAGTATATTCTTTGTTTACTTATTTGCTCATGTATTTATTATCTATTTATTTATTTATTATTTATTATTTATTCATTGTTTATTTATTATTTATTGATTCATCATTTACTTCATTTATTTATATACGTACATATTTATTTATTTATTTATTATCATTTATTTATTTATTTATTTATTTATTTATTTATTTATTATTTTATTTATTTATTTTTATTTATTTGCAGAGCTGCTGCTGCAGAAGACAGGCTCAAACAAGTTGGTTGCTGCTGATTTGCTGCTGCAGCTAAATCTGCTGCAGCAGCGGCTGCAGCAGATCAGCAGCAAACGCCGCTGCCTACAGGCAGAGACAAATGTCTACAAGGCAAGCCAGCAGCAGCAGCAGCAGCAGCAGCAGCAGCAGCAGCAGCAGCAGCAGCAGCAGCAGCAGCAGCAGCAGCAGCAGCAGCAGCAACAGCAGCAGTTGATTATTTTGTTTTGTTTATAGCGAATAGCTATATAGCCCAGTAATAGCTAAAAAATAAATACTTATTAAAATAAATATATTAAAAGAATACATAAATAAATAAATAAATAAATAAATAAATAAATAAATAAATAAAATAATAAATAAATAAATAAATAAAATAATTGAACTTTAATTTTATTTAATTTGAAAAGAAGCCAAAAACCAAATTGAGAAAACTAAGAAAAGATATTTCTGGTGTCTAGACAGCTCTGCAGCTGGGCCTAACTTTGGGAGAAGACACAGGGCTTAGGGTTTGGGGTTTAGGGTTTAGGGTTTAGGGTTTAGGGTTTGGGGTTTAGGGTTTAGGGTTTGCAGAGGAGGTGCTGTGCTGCAGTCGATGCTGCCTCAGCTAGCCGAGCTGCAGCAGCAGCTAGCTAGCCGGCTAGCCACGGCCAGAGCGGATCTGCTGCAGCAGCAGGACCCCTCAGCAGCAGCAGCAGCAGCGCAGCAGCAGCAGCAGCAGCAGCAGCAGCAAGGCAGGGAGTGCAAAAGGAGACAAATAATAAGAGCAGCAGCAGCAAAAGAAAAGCAGCAGCAGCAGATAGAAGAGACAGTGCCCAGGTAATTCAAAATAAATTTTGACTTTTGACATTTTATTTTTAAATTTCTTTTATTTCTTTTAATTTCTTTTATTTCTTTTAATTTCTTTTAATTTCTTTTAATTTATTTTAATTTCTTTTAATTTCTTTTAATTTCTTTTAATTTCTTTTGTTTCCTTTTGTTTCTTTTTCTCTCTTTTTCTTTCTTTTTGTTTGCTTTTGTTTCTTTTTGTTTCATTTTCTTTCTTTTTGTTTCTTTTCTATTTGGTTTTAATTTCAAAACCAAATAAATAAAAAGTTGCAAATTGAGTCGGAGGGCCTGGTTGTTTTGGGGTGTACGTACACCTCAGGAGCACGGCGCCGGTGCGGCCTTCGCTGTACTGGCCGTTGGGGTGTACAGACACCTCGGGGGGCGTGGATCTGGAGGTTTTTGGCGCGGAAAAAGGAGATTTTGGGGTCAAAAGTGGTTTAAATTTGAATTTAAAATGCAAAATAGACTCAAAAAATGATTTAAATGCACCAAACTTGAATTATAATTCGAAAACTGAACCCAAAATCGACTTTTTCTCCGAAAACTTCCTCCCAAGACCCTATGGGGCCCTCCAGCCCTTCTACCCCCGGGGGCCCCCCCCTTGGGTTGGCCTTCTCTCCAGGGCCAAACCAAACAAATAAATAAACAAATAAATAAGTTCTTTTTGTTTATTATTATTATTATTATTATTATTATTATCATTATAGTTATTATTATTATTATTATGTTATTATTGTTATTATTATTATCCAGGGCCAAACCAAATAAATAAATAAATCAACAAATAAGTTCTTTTTTTGTTTAACAATAATAATAATAATATTATTATTATTATTATTATTATTATTATTAATTACTATTATTATTATCCATGTTAGTACTATTATTATTATTATTTAGCATTATTATTTTCATTACTATTTATTATTATTATTATTATTGTCATTAATTATTATTATTATTATTGTTATTAGTATTATTATTATTAATTACTTATTTTTATTATTGTTATTAGTATTATTATTATTATTTATTTATTTATTATTTTTGCCTTTTTGCCTTCTGGGGCATTTGCCGCTTCCCGAGGCCAAAAGCCAAAAGCGGAAAAAAGGAATTTTTGAGTTAATTAAATAAATTAAATTTCCATTTAAAAATAAAATAAATAAATAATTTAATTAATTATAATTCTTTGAATTTAATTATTTTTAATTCTTTTTAATTTTTTAATTTGAAATAACTAAAAGAATACGCCGCAGCAAAAACGGCAAGTGCAGCGGCTGAGGTGTACAGACACCTGAATAAAGTCTTTATTTTTAATTTTTATTTTAAATTGTTTTTCTTCTTCTGCATTTATTTAAAACAGAATCTGAAATTAATTCACCAAAAGTCAAACCCTAAACCCTAAACCCTAAACCCTAAAAATTGAACAGTACAACTCACATTTCCCTGCCTGCACGCTTCTTCTTAGCATCCTAGCCCTAAACCCTAAACCCTAAACCCTAAACCCTAAACCCTAAACCCTAAACCAAAAACCCCAAGATTTCAAGCAGAAAGAGTTTGGCTGTTCCGAAGCCTCCCTTGGGTTCATCTGGGGCCTTCTAAAACCCTAAACCCTAGCCCTAAACCCTAGCGCTTCTTCCTCCTGCTTTTGCTGCTGTTGCTGCTGCTGCTGCTGCTGTTGCTGCTGCTGCTGGTTGCTGCTGCTGATGGAGATGTTTGGGGCGATGCTGCTGCTCCTTTGTTCGAATTAGTTGCTGACGTTTCTGCTGTTGTTGCTGCTGCTGCTGCTGTTGCTGCTGTTGCTGCTGCTTCTGTTGCTGTCGTTGCTGCTGCTGCTGTTGCTGCCGTGGGCGGCTCTGTTGCTGCTTCCTGCATAGATCAGAGGCTCAAAAATCCACAAACCCTAAACCCTAAACCCTAAACCCTAAACCCTAAACCCCAAACCCTAAACCCTGTGGTGTACGTACACCCGGCGCTTGTGTCTTGTCTTCTTGTGAATCGTTTTGGCGGCGGCCTTTCACCCGTTTGTCTGCAGCAGCAGCAGCAGCAGCAGCAGCAGCAGCAGCAGCAGCAGCAGCAGCAGCAGCAACAGTAGCAGCAACAATTTATTTTTACATTTACATTTATATTTATATTTATATTTATATTTATATTTATATTTATATTTATATTTATATTTATATTTATATTTGTATTTGTATATACGTTTTTTGTAGATTTCTTTATCCAGAACAAAACACTTCTATTGTTTTACACAGGCATGCATGCACAAAAGCAGCAGCAGCAATACCCACAGCAGCAGCAGCAGCAGCAGCAGCAGCAGCAGCAGCACTACTCGCAGCAGCAGCAGCAATTATTTATTTATTCATTTATTTATTTTATATTATTTATTTTTACCTTTACAAAAGTAGTTCCTCATATTAAAGGCGTCTTCTTTGTCTGCATAATAACTTTTGTCAATATCATGCACTCTGCATACGCAAACCCTAAACCCTAAACCCTAAACCCTAAACCCTAAACCCTAAACCCTAAACCCTGCACCCGCAGAGCCGCAGCTTTCCTGCTGCACTTCCAAGCCCACCCGCCTGCACGCCGAAGCCTACGCCCCAACCCCCAAACCCTTAACCCTAAACCCTAAACCCTAAACCCTAAACCCTAAACCCTAAACTCTAAACCCTAAACCCTAAACCCTACCTGTAGCCTAGGGTTTTGCTGTAAAGGGCGTAAGCGGCCCTGTTGGTGACGCGGACATGCAGCGCCGCGAACTCCGCCCCGAAGACTTTTTGCATTGCTCTTTCTGAAATAAAAAATAAATAAAATTAAATAAAATTAAATTTAATTAAATTAAATTAATTAAATTAAATTAAATTAAATTAAATTAAATTAAATAAAAAGAATAAAAGAATGAAAGAGCAAAAAGAACTAATTCGTGAATCCATTCTGCGCTTGTTCCAGGCCAAAAGAAGGCGTCGGCCTGACCTAAACCCTAAACCCTAAACCCTAAACCCTAAACCCTAAACCCTAAACCCTAAACCCTGAAAGAGGGCTTCAGCAGAAACCCCAGAGAAACGTTTGCATCATTCCTGTCTGAGCCCAGCCCGCCCAAAAGCCAACGAGGGTTTAGGGTTTAGGGTTTAGGGTTTCGAGTTCACGACTTAGAGTCTAACAAGCCTTGGAGTTAATCGCTTAGGGTTTAGGGTTTAGAGTTTAGAATTTAGCGTTTAAGGTCTGGAGTTCAGGGCCTCTACGATTAGGGTTTAGGGTTTAGGGTTTAGGGTTTAGGGTTTAGGGCCCAATACGGCTCAGGTCATATTCACAACTTAGGGTTTAGGGCTTAGGGCCCTCTACGGCTCAGGCCATATTCACAACACAGGGCATAGAATTCAGGGCCTAGGGTTTAGGGCCTAGGGTTTAGGGTTTAGGGTTTAAGGATTAGGGTTTAGGGTTTAGGGTTTAGGGTTTAGGGTTTGCGGACGGGAGAGTCTCATGAGTTTGGAGGGAAGTCCGAGTTTTCGGTTTTGGCGCATAACAGCAACAGAAGTGACGTGGCCGTGGGGTTTTTGGAATTGTCGATTTTCATCTTCTCTGGACAAAAAAGGAAATAAAAAAAGATTTAAATGAAATTAAATGAATTAAAATGAATTAAAATGAATTAAAATGAATTAAAATGAATTAAAATGAATTAAAATCAATTAAAATCAATTAAAAGGAATTAAAATGGAAAAAAAAGAAATCAAAAATGTGAAAAACACAAAAAACTGCAGCAAAACATCCAAGCTGCTGCTGCTGCTTCCCCACAAAGCCCTGCTGCTGCAGCAGACTCCCCACGCATGCAAACAATTCAAACTGCATGCAAAGCTCGACTGCTGCTGCTGCTGCTGCTGTTGCTGCTGCTGCTGCTGCTGCTGCTGTTGCTGCTGTTGCTGCTGCTGCTGCTGCTGTTGCTGCTGTTGCTGCTGCTGCTGCTGCTGCTTCTGTTGTTGCCGCTGGGGTTGCTGTTGCTGCATCAGGAGCAGCATATGCGGAACTGCTGCTGCTGCTGCTGCTGCTGTTGCTGCTGCTGCTGCTGCTGTTGCTGCTGCTGCCTCTGCAGCAGAAGCACCCGGCCGCGCAGCCGCACCACCCGCAGCAGCAGCAACAGCAGCAGCAGCAGCACCACCACCACCACCCCCACCACCACCGAAC